AACCTCGCGGAAAACGGTACATTCGCGCGATGGATTCCTAGTCACGTCTCTGGGGTACGGTTCTCCAAAAACATAGCCGCGACTTCCGCCGCTGCCGTCTTTTTTCACCGTTAGTTCAAAATATAATTATGGTATGAATGTATCAACAAAAAAATTATACGTTTCTGCTTTTCGCTAATTTTTAATTGAATTAATTCATCCGAAAATATACATTTTTTTCAGCTGGTCGCAAATAAAATTAATTATATTAGTTATTTGTTGCAATAAGCAGAAGAGATTTATAAATTTAGAAAACACTTGCCGTGCAAATTACGTTGGAATGAAATTTTTGTAATTTTACAACAGTCACACGAATTGCAAATTCATTGCAGGCTCCGACAAAGCGCGGGGTATAAAGGGATAAGAATCGCAGAAAACTGTTTCCACGTGGACGAGCAGGGATATGCGCGGCAAACGGGAACGGAGAGGGTCGATACGTTGAAAACTAAGGGAAAACGACGGCCATAATTCTATTCTGGGCCCAAATGTTGTGACACTGCCGCCAAAAAGGACTCAGAGTTAGGTATGTTGTACGACCTATCATTGTTTCTATCATACAAGAAACTCGATTCTCTCTGCATAAAGGGATGAATTTCAAAGAATATCAGTAGATGACTTGGCAAATGCAAATTTAAATGAGAAATCTGTGACGACACAAAAAACGCAACGTTTTTATAACACAAAAAAATTTTTTTTAAACATACCGTTTGGAAATACCGATGTCATGTATATAATTAATATATTATTTCTCGATCATTTTATATAATAAAAAAAGTACGGTTATAAGTACAATCTGATGGAATAAAATTAAAATATGAAACTTTTAATCATGTATATAACCAAAAATAATAATATTGCACTAAGAAAAAAAGATGATTAACTTGATTAAATTTTTCAATAACTTAATTATATTTATTCGGTTCAAGTATTTATATATTTAAGTTAAATCTTAACTAAACAAATTTAATCAAGTTGAAAAACTCAGTCAAGTTAACAACTTTTTTCTCAATGTAAAGAAATCTTTTTCTTAGTGTAGTTAACAAAAAGATAATATCAGAAAAGAAACGCTAGAAGAAATATGTTCCTCTTCCCTTCTCTCTTTTTCTCTTTTTACGCATATCTATTCTGCATGAAAGAAATACTAAGATATAGATATAAAAAATTGCATGGGAATATCGTTATACGATGACGTGATATAAATTGCCTCATCGCAAAACTTTCGTTTTGCCGTTTCATTTTTGTTCAATGCGAGGTGAACGTTAGTCCGCTTTTTTTTCTCGTCGCGGCACGTTGCCCCAGAAATTCATTAGCCAATCGGAGACACGGCTTCGTCATCCGGAGGTGCTCTGCGCGGAGATAGAAAAAAAATCTTATTTCGACACCGGCCCCTTAACGAACAGTCCCGGTATACCGAGACAATAAACCGCGCCTTACTTCTCCCCGCTCCCCCCTTTTTTTTGTCTCTCGCCGAACGAAGACAAAAATCCCGTTGCGCACGATTTGCATGCCGGCTGTCGTTGCCGCACCGAAGGTGCACATGCAGAAAAAGCCGATCGAAGAAGTAAAAAAATGCCGGTAGGGGTTGCGGGAACCATTATTTTAATTTTCGTATTGCTACCGTGTCGAGGGGTCGAAAATGGCGAAAGAGAGGGAGAGAGAAGGAATGGAAGAAACGAGGAAGAGGACAGTGGAGAGAGGAGAATATTCGTGGATGTAAAGAAGGAGAGGAGGAGGGAGGGAGGGGGGAGGGGGTAAAAGCGAAGGATAGTTACGAAGGAGGGAAAAGAAAGGGATGGATGAGTCCTTCTTTGCATAATCTTCGTCAGGGGTGGCGTTTCGCGCGAGGCCAAGGACTCTCGCGCAAAGAATGATTCCGGTTACTGTTCCAGAGATAGGGGAGAGGAGGGGGGAAAGGGTACAAGAGCGCGGCCAAGAATGTTTTGCATCTCGCCGAATAAAGTAATGCGGGACCCGCCGGATGAGGCGCGCCCCTTCTTCGTCGAGAAGAAATTACCCTAAAGAACGCCTCTAAGCGTTTTAAGGGATTATGGTCGGGCAGGCGTAAAAAAGCTCGGAAAAAGGGTTGACCACCCGCTGAGCGAAACCGGCGACAGATTACAACTTCCGAAAACGTGTTACCGATTTCATGTGCGTAACATTGCGTTGACATTGCGTCGACACCGAGGTGTTTTCTCTTTACTTTTTTCACCAGCGACTTTCGACGGTTATCGGTGGCGCCGACATTTACTGGAAGTCGTAATCTTTTTAACAGTTTCGTAATAGTTCTAAAATAGATATTAGATTATTTTTATTACAAAAGAAATTCCCGAGATTCTTATTAAGATCTGACGGTTAGGCTCGACTGACAATCTTGGTTGGTCGAATCGTTCACCAAGATAACACGATCATCCCCTCGAGGGACGCCAAAGGGTTGCAGGTCTTCCTCGCCCGTATGCATCGTATGCAGATTGGCTGATTGTCTTGTACGCTCATTCTTTTTCTTCTCTCCCAAACTATCACCCACCCCCCTCCCTCCCCACCGAGAACTTTCACGGACGGTGTCCCGTGAGAATGCCAGAGACATTAGCATGCCGCGGATTATTTAAATCGTTCCCCCCCCCTTGTCGTAGTTCCTTGTTTTTTCCCGGAGCCTCCGCGATAGACCTATGGCGTGGGTCCCGCGGGCACCCATAACCATAGACAAAAACCGGGTGAACGCTCAACGGAAGAAGAGAAAGAAAGAGAAAAGAAAAAGAGAGAGAGAGAGAGAGAGGAG